CAGAAGACAAATATGCATTTGACATTCCCACCTTTGATCTCTTAAGAAAAGATACTGTTTTACTCTCTCTGTTCATTTTTTTTCATTCTATATATAATATCATTTTTTTTCTCTACCATATGAATATTACCAATTGAACCTTCATAATCCAATTATTTGGAGAAGATTATGACTTTTATGTAGAATCCAGATAAGGTATTTGCAAATTAGATGATGGGCCATAAGAACAATGGCAGAAATCAAGAGCATAAAACAAGAAAACATACCATGATTCATTTTCGTAAATGAGAAAAAAACAAAGAAATAGTAGTAAAAAAGAGATTGTTGGTTCGTTTTAAGTATATGGTTAAAGAAGGTTAATGACATACCTTCACATGATGAGGCATGATCATGATATCATACGGTGCGTGAAGCCACGTCTCAGGTGAGTAGAACAAAAGTTCTCTCGTCTACTAGTGTACACATCGGCATATAGATGGATGTGATAAGCAAAAGCAGATTCTTGACCCTTGTCAGTGACGAAGGTGGCCCCAAAAGATATATTGAACATTCTTTTCATCATACTGCGAGCTTTCTGCCTCTCTTCATTTAATTCGCTCATAGGTAACTTGTATTCTTCACTTCTCTTACTACAAGGTACAGTTGCATGTAACCTCCCAAGCAGTTCCTGTAATATATGAAATTTTGCCTGCACCCAAGGAAGATTTTAGGATAATAGTAATAATAACGATGATGAAACAAGAAGTTCATGAAACCACTTTGATGAACATGCTGAATTGCAGTATTGACATCTTCGTATACATAGCAGTCATCAAATTCTAGTTTAGCATCAACGAAATATTGCACAATATCGGCAATGAGACATGCCTAAAAGGATTATGAAAGGAAAAAAATCAGGAACTTAAAAATAGAACAAAATATGTGCTTATCATAAAGGCAAATAGTCCAAGAAAAGGCAAAAAAAAAAACACTTATAAAATCTGATAATACAATTTGCAAGCCTAAAATATGTACTATCCATATCAATGTCCACAAGTAGATTTTTAAATTGACAAGATATTTTGACATTTATTAGATATATTTTAAAGCGAACTTGTTATCTTATTTCATCAAAAACGTTGGAATGAAGAAGAAGAAAAAGGCAGCAGCAGCAATGACTAAAAGAAGTATTAAGATTACAGTTAATCAAAAGGTATTGTGAGACATTAGCATGCATGTGTAAGCATTTTGTTGGAATCCTCTTGCCCAAACATCCCCATCTGACTATAATGCTCTGACAAACACTCATAGATGCGACTTACAAATGTGAAAGCCTACATATGTTATTATTTAGACATACATGTACAACATTGTTATACATACAAACAATACAATTACTGAAACCAACCTCACTAAAGCAGAAAAAAGTCCATCAAGCCCACAAGACGGCGTGCCTGGTCACGGCCAATACGTCTTTTCCCATATATCTCTACTATTTCCTTCTCACTAAGCTGCATTATAAGTTGCAAAATGAGAAGCAGTATATTTCACATAGTCATGTAAGAATTTCCCAACACATGCACATGATACAAACTGATAAGAAACCTCAAGCTATTGCTAGTGATCATTAATGAAAAGGACGAGTTGTTACAAGTTTTAAGAAACTTTAAACTCACATCTTACCAGGTGTTAAAACCATCCATATTAAACATGGAAGGTTTTATCTAATATTTTCTCTCTATATCTTGGTAATAAATAACCCATAGTAATCATCAAGGCAAACTTAGTTCCAGGATTGCAAAATAAACAGAACAGCCAGGTCACCAGAAATAATTCATAGTACCTGGCGACGACCATAGAAGCATCCCTCTGGCTCTATGGAACCAAAAAATCCAACTTCAAGAGACATCCCTGCTGCCTGTAATAGTACAATCCTCTAATGGGAAAGGATGGATCATATTTAAAACTCATACAAACCTCTGGATACCTAAACTGCAAGAGTGCGATAGATAACAATTTGTCAACACCAACAATAAGCCACACAGAAAAAACATCAATTACATAACTGCATTATAATATCACATAAATGCTAACCTCATTCACCATATGCTCCTTTGCGAAATCATATATCAAACTTTGCAAGTTCGCAGAGTAATGTACCAATGTAAAATCATAATCAAATTCGTATACCTGAATAAGATCCAGTCTAATACCCCTATTCACATATACAACTACATTAACACCAAAAAGAAAAAAAAAATTGAATACTACATGCCATATAGGATCCGTAAATCTGCTAAAATAGATTCAAATTAAACATAAAGGAAGAGAACATAACTGAACCTTCAGGATTCATCTTCGGCATTGCCTTGAGTGCCTCTGGAAACTCGAGGAAACTCCGTCTGGCAGCATCAAATTCCGTCCGAATCCTGTCAATATCATCATTAACCTCCGAAGTTTCTGCTTCTGCACGCTTTATTCGTTCCTCGAACTTGGATACGGTTTGCTTGTAGGCACGATCATTTGAGCCAAATCCTTTTTTTTAACAAAATAAATAGTAATATAAACCTCAAATAATACCAAGTAACCAGAGAACATAATAAATTCAAAAGTTAAAGAAAAGTAAGATTGCAATCGAAACATGCCTATTTGAAACATTTACAAAAACAAAAATGTATAAGACATGAAAGTCCAAATTTACAGATTTCTTTTTTAAAAAAGCGAACAGTGAACACAGACTGAAAAAGAAGGGAAAACCTATTGAACTCCAGAAGAAGAAAATCTCGTTCCCTGCAACAAAGATGATTGAAAAGTGAGATCGTTGTTGCTATCAGTTTTATAAATATGAAAACAAATAGAGAGGCGGAGAGAGATGAACATACGTTGATAGAAGAGCAAAGAGGAAGAAGCCTGCGAAAGGAAGCCATGAAAATGAAAGGAACTCAACTGAGCTTACGACAAGATTGAAAATGGAAAATGGAAAATGGCAGATTTATTATTTTTCAGTTTGCACTTCAGTCCTGTAAAGAAAAAAGGGAAAATTGAATACGGTGGGTGAAGGAGCATTCCAAGTTCCAACTCCAAACCCGCCCTTTCTGGTTTGCGCGTTAGTTCAATATCTTCGTCCAGTGGTAATTCCTAAGCCAAAAATAGAAAATTTGATTAAATTCGTTTATATTTTATAATAATTAATCTCCATATAATTTTAATTTATATCATCTACAAATTAACTTCACTGTTCATCTAGTTTTTTTTTCAATCCAAATCTCACGTCTGCACCTTGTGTCTACTGCCTCAGCCTCACCCCAGCTACAATGAAGTCGGCATGTAATTGCACCAACTTTCATTGTGTTTGAATTTTTAATTGCGAAAATAAAGATAAAATATATGCAGTTATACCATATTCACTTCCCCACCACAAAAACATAGCAATATAATGCTATTTTCAACCGAGGAAATCAAAACCTGTGTGTTTTGAGTCACTGTCCCTCTCACAGGGACCGGAGTGCAGGGCATCTGATGTTCTAAAACATTATACAATTCCTATTGTGCTCTTAGCAACTTTTGCCCTTTAGGCAAACAGATAAATCAAAACACCAAAATAAAAAGCATAAAACAGTATTCATCTTTATCGTGGACCATATAAACTTACCTTCTTCTTCGTGTGTTGATCTTTATCATGGACCAGAGAGTCCCATAGCATAATAATCCAATGAATGTTCGCCATCTTCATCATGATGCTCGATCGATCATGACTTTTTCCATCATGTTTCGATCCAATGGTAGGGTGCCGCGTGCTTTTGTTACTATAATTTAACACACCCTCCCTAAAGCAATAACCTTTTTCTTTTCATCTTTACATTTTCTCAGCATCCAAACATGAAACAGAGAAACAATCAGTGAAATGCTTACAAGCATTGAAAACTATTTAACTTCCCAAATGGCCATGGAATTGGATGGGAAAATCGATTGTTAGAAAGATCCAAAGGCTGCAGGTCGGGTGAGATTTCACCAGATGAGTTGTTTTTCAACAACCTTGAAATTCAACCAGCAATTTCAAACATAAAACAAGACATCAGGATCAAATATGCAGATATAAAAGATTGAAAGAAGCTAAACCTTTGTTTAGAAAGAAAGGCTTCTTCAAAAGGCTTAACACCAAAATAAGTGCTCAAATTATACCGTTCTTCTGAAATAGGTAACTAAATTAATTTTCTACTAATCCAAGTGCCTTATGTTATAAATGCTATCCATTTAGATACCTGGATTGTCAACGGTGTTAAGTTTTTCGCTAAGCGACATGTGTCACACTCTAATAAATTTAAATTTTTATTTAAAATAAAAATAATAAAAATATATATTTAAAAAAATATAAATTTTGAAATAAACCTAAAATTTTGAAAATCTTCATTTCAACCCTTAAACCTACGACGATCATCATCTTTTGCTGTCGATGAAGTTCCACCTGACCTCCTCTCCTCTCGCCAATCAAAACCCTTATGAAATTGTGATCGATCGACGACGAATTGATGTTTTATATTTTACGAACCCTAGGTTGAAAATCGTGATCTCACGCGGTTTTGACAGACAAACGGTAACTATGACGGTGTATGACTAGGAAGATGACATAAATTACGTCGGGAGTGGTTGTTGTGGTCGAAAAAGACGACGACGAGGTTAAGGTTATGATTTAGGAATTTGGGGTTATTTTATAATTTAAAAGAAATTATATTTTCTTATAAATATAATAATATTTTAATATTTAAAAAAAATTAAAATCATCATATTATGATACATGTCACTTCACAATAAAAATTAACATCTTTAATGACCCAAACACTTAAATAAATAACATTTATAACATTAAACTCCTATAAGTCCAAAAATTATTTAATCACCTCTTTCGGAAAAAAAGTATAACTTGGACATTTATATTGGTATAGTTTGGGTTCTAAATTGGCCCCACAAATTCATACAGCTAATGGCACTGTTTTGTCAGTTCTTCCTCAAAATTTTACTCCAAAAAAAACGAAATTTCTCGCAGAGACTGATATGTGGCTGTTGAAGAAGCAATATTCTTTACTTCACTCCGAATCTTCACTTCCCCGAGTCTCCAGCAATGGGTGAAACGGGTAATTCCTTCTCCTTCTTCTTTCTTAATGAGATCCCTCAACAGATCTCAACTTAATTCTAACTCTGTTTTTTTTTGTTATGTATGTTATTCTCCCTAGATTCTTTCTTCTCGAACAAATCTGCGAAGATTTTTGTAGCAGGCCACCGAGGCCTGGTTGTTTCAGCCATAGTCCGCAAACTCCAATCTCTGGACTTCACCAACATTGTTGTACGCACCCACGCCGATCTGGACCTCACCCGCCAAGCCTACGTCGAATCCTTCTTCGCCGCTGAGAAGCCTCAGTACGTGGTACTAGCAGCCGCGAAAGTCGGAGGAATCCACGCCAACAACACCTACCCGGCCGATTTTATCTCCATCAACCTCCAAATCCAGACCAATGTCATCGATTCCTCTTACCGCCACGGCGTCAAGAAAATCCTCTTCCTCGGATCCTCCTGCATTTATCCCAAATTTGCGCCGCAACCCATCCCTGAAAACGCGCTCTTATCCGGTCCGCTCGAGCCCACCAACGAATGGTATGCGGTTGCCAAGATCGCGGGGATCAAAATGTGCCAAGCTTACAGAATCCAGCACGTGTTCGACGCTATTTCCGCTATGCCGACCAATTTGTACGGCCCCAATGATAATTTTCACTCGGATAATTCCCACGTTTTACCCGCTTTGATGAGGAGATTCCATAAGGCCAAAATGGAAGGAGCGAAAGAAGTTGTTGTTTGGGGGACAGGGAGTCCGTTGAGGGAATTCTTACACGTGGACGATCTAGCTGACGCTGTGATTTACTTGATGGGGAATTACAGTGGATTAGACCATGTGAATGTAGGTAGTGGGAAAGAGGTTACCATTAAGGAATTAGCTGAGTTGGTGAAGGAAGTTGTTGGCTTTGAAGGGGAGCTTATTTGGGATACTTCGAAGCCTGATGGGACTCCTAGGAAACTCATGGATAGCTCAAAGCTTGCTTTATTGGGGTGGAATGCCAAGATCTCATTGAAAGACGGGCTTGTCGACACTTACAAATGGTACTTGGAGAACGTCAAGCAATGATGCAGGTGATATTGGTGGTTTGTTCCTTGATGAATTTTTTGATCGGGGTATTTGTTGTTTTGTGATTTTGTCAATTACTCTATTATTGTTGCTGCTATTGCTATGTTTGTATGTGCCATTGAATAATTTGAGGTTAGTTATGTACCAATTATCTGGCATCCTAGTTGAGCATGAGGAATTCCTTTACAATAAATTGGACTGAACTTTCTATCGGGGAATTGACTTTAATTTTTGTTTAAATCGTGAACTGGACAAGCTATGTTCAATTATGGCTGTGATTTAATATACTTATCTCTGTTTGAAGGGAATCCTTGGAATAACTGGGATCTAGGTTTCTGATAAATTTTCATAGTCGTGTAATTACTAGATTTTGCTGTCAATAGTTATGTTACTAGGATTTCTGAAGACGTATCTTTTTGTAATCTTTGAAATGTGGAGATGATATTATGTTATAGTTTTAAGCTGCCCGGGGTAGTTGAGCCTTTGTAGTGGCACAACTTTCATGTATGAGAAATGTTGGTTGATAAAAACTTCATCCCTGTTGGCAGTTGGCACTTGATACTTCCTATGATATATATATTGACTTGAATGGTAATTATCCGGAGACAAGCCATTGCTTTTCTAATGTTTTTCTTTTCATGCTTGATTTGTTCTTACAGACTTTTTTGCATGCGTTATGTTACTACATTCACGATTATTCATTTGTTTGCGCAAAAAATTATGTCTAGTAGGAAACAAAGTGTAGAATGGGAGAGAGACATGCAAACTTTTTAACTTTATTTCACCTATTCATAATCATGTCCGTGGTTCTTTCTCTGATATGTTATTATGCCATTTTGCACTTTTTATATGTATCACCCTATAAATTCCACCCTTCTCATTCTAGAATTTGAACTCGGAATCTCCAAGATATAATCTGACCATGTAACTGCCAGGTCCCTCCCCCAAGGAGATCCATGGCTGTGGTTTAGCATTTGTCAGTTTGGAATTGTGTCAAAACACTCATTGCGGCAGTGTAAATTCCATTTTGTTGACTGAAGCACTAGATGTTAAACATTTAAATCATCATCGGATAGTTTCCTACTACTAGATTCAACCAAAGTGGATTCCAGATTGTATTTTGATCAGAATGAATTCGATGCTTTAGCACCCTTCATTCTGGCAATCTAAGCGTCGCTCTTCTGGTTTACCTCTTCATTACTTGCTAATTCTGTTTGAACTGTGAAATGTTGTTGCCTGTTGGTGTGGCGATCGGGTAATGTGAACTGTGAAGTGGGTATTTGTACTATACTGAGTTACCTTTAGTCATAGAACTGTGAATACCTGTAGTGAAACAATAAATCGAAATTTGTCATCTGTTCTCTTTCTTCTATTTAAGCGTTATTTTGTAGTCGATGAATTGAAAATTTCGTTAGACTGAAATAAATTTAAATTCGGTTCATACACTGTTTGAAATTTGTTGAGGCACTTTCTTCATCTTATGTATGATGGAGATAGTGATTTGGGAATGTGCATGACTTGTACTCTCGGATGATGTTATGGAAAAATTCTAGAAAAGTTATCTTGGGAGTGTATGTGTATATATATCGTCTCCTGTGGGATAGAGGAGTGACATTAATTTCACATCGAAAAAGAAAGGAGATCGTGGAGTTTATAAGCATTGATTTTATACATCCTATCACATATCTTTTGAGAAAAGGATAATGATTCGTGGTATGAAAACAATCTTTTGACCATTCTATTTCATAGCATCCCATTGGGTGGGTTAGACATGATGGACAACCGTGATGACGATTCATGATGAAAACGTTACCAAATTGAGGGAGAATATCATACCTAGGAGAGGTGACAAATACGAACATAGCCTGGATACTAGAATCAAATGTCTTTGTATTTCTCTATTCTTGTTGGCAACACAATTTTTTTCATTACGTCAAAATCTTGAACATTAATCATGAATATGATGTATACCTTAAGGTCCCGAAAGTACCATTGGTGACGACGACGCCAATTGAACGAAGAAGGAACGGCATGGGAACTGAGATAGATCTTCATCCCATCCCACCAGTTAAAAAAGTACATGAACTTAAATGCAAAAGGGGGGGGGGGGCTCTTCATTAATTACCACACATCTCTTAAATGCTTGCGTTTCATCCACCTTTCATTCATCCAGCAGTAGGTTTAGGCTTCCATATTTGGCTGGGTTTACAAACAAAACTTGTAAACACAGTACTTGAGTTATAATGGAAAACATGACCACATCAAGCAAAAGTGGTCGAGAAAAATAAATAACACAGCACAGCTGGTTCAGGCTAACAATCAAACAAAGCATAGCCATTTAGGATACGTAGCCTGAAACAACATTTTACCTACAACCAAGTGCCCTTCTCAGTACTGGGTTTGTTTGCATCACTATTTGGCATGCAAAAAATTGACTCATCAATCACTGTTTGGAATTGAATCATTTCTTTGCTAAAAATCTGTCTTCAGCTACCCCCATAAGACAAGATCATAAATTTGCTGACATGTGCCACACACTGTTCTTTTAATTTGGACAGCCACCTGACTCAACGCTGAGTCAAATTTATTTATTTTTATAATTCTAACTATTTATTTTACTGAAATTAAAAAAAGAATTACTTGAAAATGGAAAGAACTATTATCCAAAAATGTAAATGAGCATGAAATAGGTACATATAAGTAGGAAGAGAAACTAAATATATGGTTGGATGTTGAAATATTTTAGAAGAACATGAACCCATCTGACACAGGCTGACAAATTAACAAATCTCCATAAACATTCTGCTAAACACATTACTATGATTCTGAGTCATCCCCCAAAGATTACATGACACTGAAACAAATATACATAATCACATCTGAGCTTTAAAGAAAATGATGAGATAAAACAAGCTTATCCTAAGCAAAACCCAAAATTTGCAGAGCTGTTAAAGAAAAGGACACAACCCGGATTCACGTGCATACCAAAAAAACGAAATAGGAAGCAAACCCAAAATTTGCAGAGCTGTGTGTAGGATGATAGGACACTTGCATGAAACCCAAACCCCATCCATCATCGTCATGGAAAGTTCTACCGTACAGGCTTAATATACTGTTAAATAAATGTGTTATTGATTTTGTTATTATTTTTTAATAAATTTGATTAAGAATTATTTAAAATATTATTATTTATATTTAAAATATTAATATTTTTTAATATTTTCGGTAAAATATCTAATAATAACAAAACCGATAGAAAAAATAATATTTTATGTAACGCTTTACCGAATATTTTAACAAAATCAATAAAGCGTCATATAATAACAAAATCGATAAAAACAATAATATTCTTAGTAATTTTTTACTGAGTTTGTTAAAAATATAATAAGAAAATCAATAACGTATTTTACTAATTGTATAATAAAATTATCGTGCGTGAGAATTTCTCCCTCGTTATCACCACTCGTAACCTCAACTTTCTTGTCTTTCCCCCCTTTTTTATTCCTGTTTCTTAAATTATCAAACCTATTTTTGAAATATACTGCCTAAACTTTATACTATTGAACAACCAAGTCTAGGTGTTCTCTAGGCCAGCAATTCCCCCCCCCCCCCACACCAAAATCACAAAAGAAAAAATAATAATAAAGCATTAGATTGCTCACTATAGAGTAAATGCAGGAGAACATTACAAATTCATTACAGAATTGGGTGTAAGACAGTAATAAATACCAACACATTTCCCCAGGAGGTGCACAATAAATTACAAATAAAATTGAGCTTTCAAATTGAAGTTCTCATTGTTGAATGGGACCTCCAAAAATTACCTCATAATTACTTATTTCCTGCTCCATTTTTAACCTTCATTGTCATGATTTTGATTTTTTTTTGCATGAAGCAAAGCACAAACACTGACTAAAGCCCCAAAAAATAGAGTAAAAACTAAAAAGAGAGAAGCAACATACCCGTTCCTTTTTACCAACATTATGGAGCAACAATGTAAGCACTAAGCAGCAAAAAAGAGCAACAGATTTTTTTCTAGTGTATTCATAAATGAACAATGTAAGAGATTGAGCCGATCCCGCCAATATCACTGCCGCCACCTCCGCCCTCTCCCATCAGCGGAGGCTGAAGAAGAAGAAGAACAGAAGTCGCTGCAAAGATGGGAGTTTGAAGAAAACGATATCCCTTTTATAGTTGGCCCATGCTTCTTCATATGAGCATCCGGAGCCCATTTGCTTCACATAAATTTCCATGGAAAATCTCAATCTTGCTTCAATTTTCACCATATTCCACCAGTCTTGAAGAGAGCTTTCGCCCCCTCACCACCACAAGCCTATATCACCATTATAACACAAAAAAACACAGAGTGAAAAGAAAAGCAGCAAAAGAAACTAGTCGGACAGTTCAAAAAATGAAAAAGAGGTAAAAAAAAAACACAAAATGAGACACATGAGGTTGTTGTCTGTACGTTTTGCTATTTTCTTTTTCTTTCCTCGGACGGGGTTTCCTTGTCCTAACTTAGAAAGAAAAGGGCGAACAAGAAGAAAGACAACATTTTTAAGGACGAGGGAGAAGAAATGAGGTTGCTTGCATATATGTATGTACACTCAAAACATAATGTGGCCCGGCAAATTAAAGAAGAGAGGGGGAAAGGGGTTGGCTTTGCCTTCAGCACAACTCAGCTTCAGTTGCTTGCTTCAACCCCAAAAGCTTCCCTTTACTTGCCCCAGATTAGCTAGATTTGCGCAAGCAACCTTTGTCCTTTTGTTGTTTCCTTGCCTACCCTTTATCATTCCCCAAAATCCCTTCCTTACCCCATGTTTTGTATTATAAATATACCTCTTAAATACTATAATCTTTTCTTAATTAACTTCAAAAAAAAAATCATGTGCAAGTTTTGTTTTTTATTAGGGTTTTCATTCTGACTGTACTGAGCAAAGCAGCAGCAAAGCCGAGGTGAGATTTATGGAGACGGCCAACCTTACACCCCCACCGCCCAACAGTGGTTATGGCTTATCGGCTTAGATAGTGACATCCGTTTTTATGGGTTCTAGAGAGTGTAAGTGGCTAAACTAAACCCACATGAACCTACATCCACTCCAGTCTCCGTCTTTGGACTTTGGGGTCCCCCTTCGGTCAACAGCGCCTACTTACATGTTTTTATTGTGGGACTAGCCCCTCCCGGGGGCCTTCCTTTCTGGGACCAATGCCCTACCAAGAGGGCTGTTTGGCCATTCGGCTCTACGAAGGTTTGAACAAATTTAAATAGAGGAAAAAAAAAAGTGTACCCCGGATATCACGTATCCATGTTTAACAGGAAGTGTCGAGCTTTGTTGATTTCCTTTTCCCTTTCTTTGTCTCTGTTACACTTACACTCAATGTGCCTTGCTTATCATGCCCAAGATCACTGCTTTATCCTTGTTGTTTAGACAGCTAATGGGCAAAATTTTTCGTATGGGCGTTGAAAAAAATTATTGACTCATTTAAAGCTTCGAAATTATTTTCGAATATAGGGTAAATACTGTAGTATTTATGGGAGGATGTCAAGAATACCACACGTCTGTGGCAAGACACGGCTATTACAGTATATCTTTTACCTTTTTATTTTAAAAGTCTTGACTTTTAACTAAATAAACAATAAAGAAGACGTATTTTATTCTCGATGTCATTCTTAAATTTATAACGTGAACCTCATTTCAAAAAATAATTCTATACGTGCTAATGATTTTTTTCAACGCCCCAGCGGGAGGGGAAGGAGATGTGTTACTGTTAATCAATATGAATAGCCACGTGTACGGTGATGGGATGTTAAGTGACAACATCAAAGCAAAGCCCGAGAAGTAGACTATCATAATAGAGAACAGAATGAGTCAGAATGTCTGAGGAAGTGTCAGATTTTCAGAGTCCCAAAAATTTTTTACAATGCGATAAGGTTAAAAACGGCTAAAATAAAGTGTTACTAATTTTATTATAGTTTAAATAATAAAATTGAAAAAATTTATTTAAATTTTTTTTGGTAATTATTTAAAATATTATGTTAATTCGGTCATTTTTTTTAGCCTAATAATATTTTTTGTATTTTTTTTTAAAAAACTGGTAAAAAATATCCAATAATAATAAATTTAGTAGCGCCTAATAATATTTCTGATAATTTTTACCGATTTTATTATTTAACACAATAACAAAACCAATAACATCTTATTTTAATCATTTTTTAGTTTACCGCACAGAAACTATTCCCAAAATGAAAACAATTTGGTCATATTTTGTTTTGCTTTTGCTGCCCATCTAAATAATTATAATAAGGGTAAACTATACTTCTAGTCAATAAACTTCTAGAGAGATTTCATTTTGGTCATTAAACTTTTACAACTTATATTACAATAACTAAATTTTTAATTTACTCTCAATTCCTTCTGGTATGTCGATACCTGCACATTGTTCATATTGCAAATATTCAAGTAACCATACTCTTTGAATTAATTACTATAAGTAACACTTAAGCAGTGCCATTAGTGTACCGGAAAGTTAAGAATGGTGTCTTGACCCCAGTATTTGAGTGCTGCTAAATCATAAGCATGTGCTGCAATTTCTTCATCATCATAAGCCCCTGGAAAAGAAAAAGAAAGTAAAATTCCCGAATTTGAGGTAAAGGGAAAAAAATCACTTTTTAAAAAAAGAAAACGTTGTAGTTAACGTGTATACCAAGATAGACTGCATTTTGAGTATTGATGCATAAACACCAGCAGCACCAGCCATGGAAATGGAGAAGAATAAATCATTAAACTTTCTGGTATGTAACTAAATGAAGACTAAAAAGAAAGGATGATCAGAGAAGTGAACAAGGGTTAATGAATAAACCTTGGCGTCCTTTCTTGTGTTGTGATTCATTCCAGCAATTCTTGTCCCATAGATGAGCTTCATATCGACCCGTCCACCTATGCCTGAGAACAATTTCACCTAATCAACATGCAAACACCATGGATTCAAACCATGAAAGTTAGTATTTTTTATAACTAAAATGACTTGCCTGGTGACCCCTCGATAAATCGAGCTACGTTGTGGAGGCGAGTCTCTTGGGAAACTTCTCCTGGTTCGCTTCTTCAACTTCGTAACACCATTAATCGCAGTACTAGTAGTACTGATGCTCATACTGTTATGATCAATACCTCTACTTTCTGCATTGTTTCTCTGGTTCGCCTGAGATAATTTCGCCATGGAAAAAGCTTGATCATCCCAGGGCCCTCCAATGAAGTGGTCTTTAAAGGGATGGTGATGAGAGGTAAAACAATAAAAAATGGTAAATTATAAATTTAATCACCCAACTTTTTCTTTCACTCTTATTTTGATCTCACTAAACTTTCAATTTCCTCCTACTTGTGAAATGACCCCTAAAACTTTTTTTTTTAACTTATTGCTTCGAATTCTCTTTGAATTATCGATGATGTATGTCTTCTTCTAAATCATAATGGTGAGGAAATGGAGAATGAGAAAGTGAGTTATATATCTTGATTCTATAATGATTGGATGGCGGATATTATAGATTAGAGTGGTTAATGGTTTTATGAGTTTAGGTTTAAGATTACGTTTTATAAGCTTCGAAATAATTTAGGTAAAATCTAAACTGATAGATTAACAGAAGACATTGAGATAATTTTGTTGATATCTTGATTGATCTTAGAAGACGTCAGAAAATGATAATTATAGTGTCGCTATGACATACGGATGGAACTATAAAACTTTCATCTTTAGAGGAAGAAGATAAATAAAGAAAAGAGGAAAAATGAATTGGATGACACATGGACTCTATGTCAATAAAGCATGGTCCACATCAACACACATGACTGCCAATTCACCCGTCCATTTATGATTTAACACTCGAATGACCAAAAACATGATTAAATTGAAAAGCTTTAAACTTTAATGACCAAAATAATAGTGACAAAAAAGTTAAGTGATGAAATTTGTAATTTACCCTAATAAAAATATACGGATGAGAAAGATTTGTACATTGGGGAAATTACAAATGGCCGGCTACAAAGTAAAAAAATTGTCTTTTTGCCGTCTTTAACCGGCTAGAGCTCCCTTTTATCTGTTGTCCTACCTAACTAATTTGTGCTGTTACAATCACATTCAACACTTCTCTTTAAAGCATGCATTTTTAGCCCTTTCTTCCTACAGATTATACGTTGATGGATATCTTAAATAATTTATTTTCTGCTGTTATTTTATCTAACTTTTAAATGAATTGAGCCTCGAAAAACTTTTATGCGGAAGCTGATTAATTTTACTTCAATCTGTACAGAAAACAAGACAACATTTCAATTCATCGTAGCTGTATTTTGACATTTTTAGATGCATTATATTAATGTTAATTAAGTTTGTCTTAATGGCAAGCAATAGAATGTCGAACCGGTCGTTGAGAGCTTTAATCATTGGTTAAATCGATTAAACCAAGTGAGCTAATTGGTTGGATAATATATACCATATTAAAAAAATATTGATTCTCTAATACTTAAGATATAATTTGTTTATGTTTGAAAAAATTAAAATTAAACCCAAGTCTAATCGATTTTTTTAAGGGTATAGTCAAATCGAATTCGCGTTTACGATGAAAAAATCTGACCCGAATCAATTTGACATGATATAATATATATAACTCAAGCAAGATCGAATTTCGCGTCGGGGAAATCCTCGTAAATTTCGAATTAAGTGAAATACAGATGAAGGGATTGATTTTCCTAGAAGTTTATGTGGGCCAAAATTCAACCCGACCCACGGACATTATTAAAAGCAAACACATGTTTCATGGTAGGCCAGTTGAATCTGGGCTGAATGAGTGGTCTATTATTATAATGAACTGAACATGATGTAAATGTCTAGTATCTGCTGCAATCCATTTTTTTTATAAAAAAAAATCTGCAATCATGGCCTTTGCAGCAGCCCAGAGCCCCTCACGAGTTCATAAAATCCCGCAGTCCAACTACATCGACGCCGTCCGCTGGCTGTCACCGGTTTCCGCCTTAGACAGATTCGCAGCAGTCGCCTATTACGACACCGATGCCAACTCTCCCTCCATCGAAATCATCTGCGTTGACCCAAACCCGGACGGCTCGTCTCCAACCTTAACCCCTCATTCCTCATGGACCCCACCTTCACGCATTTCGTCCCTCAAAACTTCCCACTCCACCCCTCAGCCCATCCTCGCTGCCGCCACTTTCTCGGGTTCGATTCACATTTTGGCCCCTGATTTAATAAACGGAGAGACGATGGAATCCGAGGCTACAGTTTCGGAGCCGGGGTTTCATTCCGGACCTGTATCGGCCGTGGATTTAAGGGAGGGTGGGACTGAGTGCGTGAGTGTTGGGGGGATGGGAGGGTTAATTTGGTGAGTTTTGTTGGGGATTCTTCGAAGCCGAGTTACCGGAGAATTTTTAATGTAAATGGGCTTGTAGGTTATACGGCGGTTAAGTGGGCGTCCCCGAGTGAGTTTGCAACCGGTGGTTATGGGTTTGGATTACAGTGGTGGGATCAGAGGAGACCCGGTGGACCGGTTTCACAGTTTAAGGGGAACTGGTGAGGGCATTTTCTTGGCTTAATTATGGAAAATAAATCATGCAGTTGAATGTAATTTGTTGAGTTTATAGTGATCTTACCAAATTTTAATTTGCATTTATGAACTGTTACGTGTGATTATCCTATTTCCATCAGAATGTTGATAATAGGGTCAAGAAAAAAATCGATTAAATTTGGTTCATTTCGTTAGTTCGTCTTTGATTCATTTCGTTAGTTCGGCTTTGATTCATTAATGGTGATAGATAAAAATTCATAGATTAAACATGCCACTCTGTTATCATTATCAAATGATGTTATTCTAATCCCCATTTTAATGGTTATCTTGCAGGTGCCAAGGAAAAACATCTGGAATTGTGCACTCAATCGATATTCATCCATCACGGAAACACACCTGTCTGGTAAGATTGCTGCTGCTTTCTCATTGTTATGCCTTTTCATTTAATACTGGTATCATTTGAGATCAACTAACTGTTCTTTTGCTACCATTAGAAAACCTCGAAGAGCAAAAAGGAATAAGGCGAAGGGTAGAAAAATAGCATTTTTTTCCACTTTCTTATTTTTATAAAAGTTGTTACTTTGATCTTGTGGTTTTCCAGACAGTTCTGGCGTCGGACTGTGAAGAGTCTAAATGATAGCAAGATTTAATGCTAGCTCGTGCTAGGATGTACCGAACAATCTAGTAATTAGTGGAACAATTTTATGCATATGGCTGATGGCTTTTGCAGTTTTCGGTTAACATTCCTACCCATAATGTAAAATGGTTCTTTCTTCAATGTTTTACTTGCAGGGGATTCTGAGCTTCCAATTCAAATAATTTTTCGACCACTAATTTATGTCACAGCTTTTTAATTCTTTCTTACCTACCCAAGCAATAGGAAAGCTTAATGTAGCGATGCACCAAGACGCTCTTGATAATTCATTCCGTGACTTTGTGTATTACCTAATTATAACTTTTTCTTCACGAAAGATCTAAATCAGATCAGTTTTCCTCCATTAAAACAATGTTGGGAAAAAGCTTTAAGAGTTTGTGTTTTGCTGAATTGAAATTCGTGTATATTGATTCTTTGGTGGTTACTGGTCTTCCATGCTAGAATACTTTTAACGAATTCTATTTGCTTGAGATATTTTGTTGAATTTCATTTTTTCTAGCGTTCCATAGGCAGGGGGCTCTTCAGGCACTGTATTTGCTTGGGATCTTAGAGCACAACAACAGCCTATTGTCCTTTCGAGTGCTGGGACAGGTGAGGCTCCAATTTCTTTGTTATCTGAAAGTGAAGTTTGGGAAGTTCAGTAGGATCGCTACACAAGGTCTTCAAACATTAGCAACATCTCTTCCACACGGATTCTACCTATTATGATCTGCTCGGAAGATGGGATCCTCGCGGTTATTGAACAAGGTAAGCAGTTCTTTAAGCAACAACTATTGTTGAATTGTGATATATGTACCTTGGTCAGAACAATGGTTAAGGTTGAGACTTACATCAAAAGATCTCATGTCCGACATATATACTAATCTACCAACCGCATAGGTGAAGAACCCTTGGAGCTGCTAGCCGAGCCCTGTGCAATTAACAGCTTTGACATTGATCAGCAGAACCCCTTGGTAAATAGAAACTTTTCAATCTCACTATTTTTTTTTTGCTCCTGAAGTATAAATAGTGAGTTCCTTACAACAGTTAAAATTCAATAATTCCGTGCAGGATGTCATATGTAGCTTGGAATGGGAATCTATAACCATTTTGACAAGGTCTTGATATGCAGAAACGAACGCGATGGTAAGAGATGCAACTTTAAGCCATGATCATTAAAGTTGAGGATGTTGAGTTTCATTAGGCAATTCTGCAGGGCTTTCTTTTTCTAGAAATAGAACAACTAATGATTTGGGGTTCTCAAAACCGAATGGTTCGTTTTCCTTTGGCCCGTGTATGTGTAGTTATTACAAATTTTGAGTTCAGAAACTTCAATCAATCAGTTCTACTCGAGTGTCTTAAACTACTTGATATGTGGCATACGGTAAGCGGGGGTTATGAATGGTCCAATGGACCTATGCAGATAAAATAGATCGAAGTGGAAATTATCGTTATATTGTTATTGTAGAGTATTCGATACATTAAATAAAAGTGATTTGTGATCATACAAGAACAACACACTAGAAATACAGCAACCTCATCAAAACCAAACAAATAAAACCCTTTACGTAATGGAATTGTACTGAAACAAATGACTGAAAATGCTCTATGAATCCCTTGGTGATACGAGATTAATGTTTAGAGGAACACGACCATGACAAAGCAAAGACACATACTGAGCATCATCATCAAGGGCTAGGTTTTGAAGGAGGTGGGGAGAAGAATGGGAGGGTAGTTGGTATAGTGGGGATCGGTGGCATTGCTAGTTTTGGTAGGGTAGGCAATGTTGGCATACTCGGAAGTGGAGGTAGAGCTCCAGGCTTGGGTAACGATGGCTGTGTTGTCGGCATGCTAGGAAGTGGAGGAAGAGCTCCCAGGTTGGGTAACGACGGCTGCGTTGTCGGCAATGTCGGTTGCGGGAGATTGGGGAAAGATGGCAGTGGCGGCAGCACTACACCAGGCAATGTTGGTGGCATCTGGAGGAGACGGCGAGCTGCTACCCCGGCATTGATGTTTGACAATGACAAAGCTATGATAATGGCTAAAACAAAACAATTGGTAGAGGCCATTGTTTGAGAGTTTGAGTGAGGAAAACAAGGCATGTGGGGGGTTTTATATAGCCTGGAAGCAGGGAACCTGGTCTCTTAGGTTGTTGATTACTGGTAGTATATGGTTGGAAAATAAAGCATGAAGTCGTTTTAAGTGTTTTGTTAGTTCATCTTCTCTTCGATGTTGGGATTAAAAAATCGTCAAATGTAGTTGTGGTTGGCCAGAAGCTACCTGAAATTACTCACGTTAGCATACAAGTCATCGACATGTCAAACAATTTCTATAGCAGGCCGTAATTTTAACTCAATTTCTTCTTTCCGTTATTTTTAAAAGATTAATAGTTTATTGAATTTGCAACGTCAAGAAAACACGGATATATTAATATTTAGGGTAATTGACACATTTAATACTTAAACTATAAGTTCAATTCATTTTTAGTATTTAAACTTTCAATTTTTTCAAAAACATACATAAAATTTTAGTATCTCACTATTAGCAACTTTATAAGTTTAGTACCTAAACTATCAATTTTGGTGTGTTTTAATACTTAAACTTTTAATATTTAAAAACTAAAATTTTGAACAAGGATACTAAAATGAAACAAAAACTAAAGTTTTTAAATGGTAGAGTATTGAAATGAAAAAAAGTAAACTTTAGATACTTTTTAAAAAAATTGAAAGTTTAGATATTAAAATGGATCAAAATTAATAATTTAGGTACTAAACACGTAATATATCCTAATATCTAAAGACGATAAATGATAGAATAATTTAACGGATAAGATCAAATTAATCCGATCAAATTCTTTTAATATTTTGAATGATCCATAATTACTCGATATGATTTTCATTCTCTCAATATCTTATTTGTTTGAGATTTGCAATGAAAAAGCCTTTGGGTTCTAAACAACAATTTAGAGATCAACTAAATGAGAAAGACTGTTAAAGGGCAAATGCTCGGAAAGATTTACAGGGTTTTTCCCCACTTTTTTCTTTCTTTCTTTCTTTCTTCTTACATTCATGGAAGAGTAGCTTTATGAACAAAGGAGATCAACATTGGTTGTACAATAAGAAAATCTAGTTCAACTGTCACCATGATAGCGCTTATATTCTGAAACATTTTACAATGTACACTTTGGGTTCTTCCATCATGTCGGAATCTGCGCTCTCAGGGCAGGGATCAGGAAGGAGGTGGTGAATGAATGGTGGTATCGGGTAACATGGCTACCGTCACTACGAAGTATTCACATCCGGTTGGGAGACCATAGGGATTCATACTTGATCCTGAATTCGGGGTTAATCGCTCTGTCCCCGTGTTAGAAGTTAGTTGATCCACGGGATCTGCCCTGCCACGATCAGGTCTACTTGATGAAGGTTTCACCGTCTGACGCTCAATGTGCACAATCTGCCCGACAATGTAGCTTGGCTGGCTTGGGAGATGATCGGTAAACAAGGCCACGGATTCAGCAGACAAGTAGTAGTTGGAGCAGTTTCGGGTTATGGCCTCGTAATGCCCAGAAAAATTTAGAATAAATGCAGCAATCTCATGGACTTGCAAGCGGCTAAAAGATATCTTTCCCTTGTTTGCCTGAAGCAAGAATTTCAAACCAGTCAAACAGATACAAAAAATAAACATAAATTACATAAAAACGGACGGGCAAACTATTTATTCTACATCTGCTTGCTAGACATAATACATGGCTAACGGCTCTGCAAGAACAAAAGCCTATAGAACAGTGAACCTGCTTCTCAAGTTGATGCTTGGTGAACAGAGTTTTAACCAGCTCATTTTTCTCTTCCAATTCCTTCCTAAGCTGTTCGTTTACACCTTCAACATTAGTGTACTTCTCATGCAGCTCTTCACGATGCTTGGACAAGAAACCAACTTTTTCAGCAAGGACCCGGATACATTTGCGGAACTCAGCAGAGCCATCATCTTCACCATCATTAAGGGAACTGAAAATTTAATAGAACAGATACCAAGGCAATTGTCATTATAGAAGTTTAAAATAAAATAAAGTAAAACAAGGAGAAAGAAGAAAAATAAAGAGGACAAGAAGATAATCATGTTTATGACTTTATGTATCACCCTTTAAAACTCCAAAGGGAATAGAAAGCAGATGTTTCTATATTTCCCCAGGAAAATGATAACAACAATGAGTTTGAACAAAGCATAAAATTTAAGCTCTCTTCTCTTTAATTTATAAAATTGAACAAAATTATGATTTTTTTATTCCAGCCCTGTCCCTGCCACTCTTTTGCCCCTGAAGGAAACTGGATTGAGTAAAACTACTGTGCAATCCTCAAAAGCACTATAACTTACTTGGCTAAAGACTGAGACAAAGTACGCAAAGACTCAGCAAAGCCAGCCATCCCACCAGGAGCGTAGACACAGTTTCGTAGCCTTTCAAAAAGACCACGCATCTTAACAGCCGATGCACGGAGGACACTATATTCTGAGGCCCTGCGATCAGCAGCACAACGATGGCTTTGGGCTTCCTCTCTTGCTTCATGCAAACAATTCTCCAAGTGAGCACAGTTCATCTGAAACCAGGGAGGGGAAATTAGAATATAGCACAAGAAGATTGACCAAATAGCTAAATTTACACTATAGTGACAAATAACACAGGTTAGACTTTCCTTCTACATCCCCTCCAATCAAATTTCATTGGTAGTGAAAACTATATTCCAAATAAAATAATATATGATCCTTGAGTTCACCAGTAACCTCCTTGTCACTTGTTGGTCATCCAACTTTGCCACCTAGTCCAACCTACAATTTATTGGGTTTCTCTTGCTTTTAACAAGTTATGTTTACACCTGAAACATTGCTTTGTCTAGAATGATCCAGATCCAGTTCTGCCTCTCCTTTCACCCAAATTGTGGGTGCTACTAGGCCAGTACAATTAAAAGAACAATTTACTTGTACATCTAGCCCAGAAAGTATACATGATAGGACACCCTAGACTAAGAAAAAAATGAAGTAAAAGGTACTGAAGTAAAGAATAGGCAACATGATGCATTCGACTTCCACATACATGTTATAATGCCAGTTGGAGATAGATAGCCCAGACAGTGGTATCAAGTTTCGCCCCACTTTTTACTTAAAATTTCAAGTAACTTAGTGTACTAAGAAAGGTATATGACTTCAAATAATGTAGTTCATAACGTGTGAGGGGAATCCTAGAAATATCCATATGAAAGCTAACATGAATGCTTTAAAAGATGAAAATAGAGGGAAGGAATTTGTCTGGTACTACCTGAGATTCATCAAGAAGTTTACGATTTGTTTCCATCTCACTCCTGAGCATGGAAATCTCATCCAAAGCATCCTTAAGCTTTGCTTCAGTTTCACTTAATTGGTTCAACTTATCTGCAAGAGCACTTTGCAACTCCAACACAAGATCCCCACCAACTTTTGAATCTAAACCTAGCTCAGTTGCTGTCTCACAAGGCAAAGCATTCAGAGGCTCAGGCATGCTTTCAGCAGTAGAACTGTTAGTGAGAGACATGCCAGACTGTCCCACCATCCTATCTTTTCCATCTTTCACTCCAACTTGCAGATCTTCTTGTTGTGGCTCTTGCATTGATGAATCCAAATGAGGGTTGAGCATTCCAGACGACTCCATCATATTCTCATCAACCCCTTCTCGACCTTTGCTCGTCTGTCTTCCAGACTGTCCAAGCTTTGCATCCAAAGAATTCGAAACGCAAGAAACCTCATCCATGGGCTCAGATGTAGTTACACGAGGCACATTCACCCCACAACCTGAGATTTCGGGCTTGCAATTATCATCCTTTGAACCTTGAAGGCCAAAGTCGGTGACATTATTAGTTATAGAAAGCTTTGGCCCCTGTGAATACCGATCAGGCAATCTCTGCTCAAGTTCCTGAATGCGCTTTTCATATGAAACACACTGCATTTGTTTTTCCTTAAGCAGTTGTTGGAGATGTTTTTCGTACTCATCTTTTAAATGCAAGGCTTCAGCAGTCTTTTCTGCAGCATTTTTCAATAATGTATTGACTTTACTATCATCAACTGATCCATATTCAAATTCAGGACCCAGAGAACAAATCAGGGCAATTGCAGTGGCAAGTTCAGCTTTTAGTTTTGCATTCTCAACTTCCATCTTGCTAGTTCCAGCAATCTCAACCAATTCAGATCCCTCAAGGAAGTCATTGGGATCATCTTTTCCAAGAGTATCTACACCGATCTCTTCAGTTACAGCAGAATGAGAACTCTCATTCGATAAGGAACTTGAATCTCTTAAGCTAGCAGGTTTGCTAGGCAGTCCTACTAAATACTCGGGAGAATAATGGTCCAGGTCAGGAATGTCAATATCGAGCAATGCAGTGTCAAAAGGAGCTATATTGACATCACACTGGTTAGGGGTATCATATAACCCCATGGAAGCCAATACATCCTTGGGTATGTACAAACCATGTGCTTTCAGAAATTCCTCTCGTCTCCTGACCTCAACTTCTCTCTTTGTTGCAAGCCTTTCAGCCAACTGACCAGCCATGCCCATGTAAATCTTCATAGATGCCTTTCTTCTTATTACTTCAGCAAGACATGCTCTATATGCAGGACCAATTCCCCGGACTAACTTAAGGTCCATAAATAGATCCTCCTGGCGCACCATTGCCTCCTTGAAAACAGGAAACTGCAGTTTGACATCCTTGATGTGGTATGTAACATATGTAGTCTTTTGCATGTACGTGTGAACAAACAAGTTCATTTCATTCTTCTTATCCTTGCAAAAGTCGAGCAGCTTTGATATTGCATGTTCACAAGCCAACATCCTTCGCAGATGATTTTTGTCATGGACATCATACATAGGACCCAGGGCTGAAACTGCATCATGAGGACGAAGGGAGGAAGATAATTGAGAGGACAGACAATCATCGACAAGTTTCTTCACTGTATTGACATCTTTGCTGCAATAATACAAATGCAAACTCATCAGTTTCAAACATCATGAAACTTTACAAAGATAATTATTAGAGAAAATCATTGCATT